AACAACATAGTTTAAAAAGCACAGTTTATCAGAAATTACTAGACAATTTTTAGTTTAACAAGAACCTCATTTTTAATACTGTCAATTGAAATGTCTATAATAATAAAACCTAGCAGGGACATAGAGTTTTTTACAACTTCAAATTATGCTCACGTTTAGCATCTAATTTAACCTTCAGAACAACCTTTGGCAGTGGTCAGAGCAGATGCCAGATATATCTCAAAACTAAGGGGCCTGAGCCGCAGCTGGGGGCCGGCCCCCCGAGGGCCCTCCTGCCTGGCAGTGAGCAGGGAACTGGGATTTCTGTTGACCAGAACCTTTTCTTCTCAGCATTTTATTATGAAACTTTAAACAGTGTTTTGTTGGAATTTTAAGAACTATAAACAGTTTTGATTTTAACTAGTAGGAGTATTTTCCATTTTAAAAATTCTTTAGTGCTAAATTGTCAGCAGAGCAGAACAGATGGATATGATCACTGTGAAACCATGTTTTGATTTGAAAAAAAATTTTTGATACCTTGCTTTTTTGACCCTGCCTTCAGTAAATTGGAAGCACTTTCAGTATAGAAGCTCATATATTTTCAAGCTCTGCTGTTAGGTGCATACACATTGAAGAATGTTATGTCTTCTTGGTGAATTACCCTTTTATTAATAATCTTTATCCTTGGTAATTTCCTTTGCTCTGAAATAAACTTCGCTGTTACTACAGGTTTCTTTTTTGGTTAGTGTTTGTGTGGTATATCTTTTTCTATCCTTCTACTACTAACCTATTCATATAATAATATTTGTCTTTTTTTTTTTTTTTCGTGACCGGTAAGGGGATTGCAACCCTTGGTGTGGTGTTGGCCACACCGTGCTCAGCCAGTGAGCGCACCGGCCAGTCCTATATAGGATCTGAACCTGCGGTGGGAGCGTCGCTGCGCTCCCAGCGCTGCACTCTCCCAAGTGCGCCACGGGGCCGGCCCATATAATAATATTTGAAATTAATTTTTTGTAGACATCATATAGTTGAATCACATTTTTCTTAAATTCACTCAGAAACTCTTGTCCTTTAATTGGTATGTTTATACCATTTACATTTAATGCAATTATTGACATATTTGGTTTCTCTGTTCTATTTTATTCCTTAGCTTCTTCTTTCCTGTGTTCTCTTACCTGAACATTTTTAGTATTCTATTTTATCTGTTGTGACTTAGACTATATCTCCTTGTTTAATTTTTTAAAGGGAAAAATTTAGTCTACTTAGAACCATTATTTTTTTATCCCTTTAATTGGAATGTAGGCACTTTACCACCACACAGGTTCCTTTACCTGCCCTCCCTTGTTATATTTTTCTTATATCCTGCATCTGTACACATTGGAAACCCCATCAGACAGTGTTACATTTTTGTTTTCAACCATCAAACAGGTTTTTTTTAAAAACTCAAGACTATTG